GAAAATGTTAAGAGATAGAGGAAATGTTTCTGATCCAAGCTATACCTGAGGATGGCAGTAATGCACTGTTAAGTGCGGTTGCCAGTAAAAGACAGAAGAAGAAGAAGAAGAAGAAGAAGAAGAAGACGATAGAGCCGTTGTTGGAAATTAGGAAAGCTCTTATAAATGCATGGCAGAAACTTTGGGAGAAAGAGAAGACATTTATATAGAATTCAAAGGGAAGTAGGAATACGTAACAAATGAAGAAAAAAGCTAGAATAAGTGATCAACTGTCAGTATATACAGGTGAATTGATGGCTATTCTGCTAGCAGTACAACTAATTAAGGAAAGAGAAATACAAAATGCGGTCATTTGTTCAGATTCATATTCAGCAATAGTCAGTATTGATAACCAAAAATCAGAATCAAGGCCAGATTTAATCATGGAAATCCTTCCAAATCTCTTTGAGTTAAAACAAAGTAGAATAGAAGTACAGTTTATGTGGGTTCCAGCCCATGTGGGAATTAAAGGAAATGAAGAAGCAGATAAATTAGCTAAGCAAGCAGTAGCTAGATGATGAAATAGCAGAAATTGAGCTATCACATAGTATAAGAGAAATAAAAACAGTAATAAAGGAGAAAGTGATTAAAAAGTGGCAAGAGTATTGGGATAATCAGACTAAAGGGAGACGTTTATATGCAATGCAAAAGAAAGTGGGAAAAGGTAGAAAAAGTGGGAGAAATAGGAGGGAGGAAAGTGTAATTACAAGACTAAGAATGGGACATACAGGTTTGAATAAAACATTACATTTAATATCTAAACATCCAACGGGATTGTGTGAGAAATGTGGACAGAGTGAAACTGTAGAACATGTGATTATTAATTGTAAGGGTTATGATGAAGAAAGAGAAGTGCTAAGAGAAGAAGCATGGAAAAGAGTTCACATTAAAGAATATATTAGACTCAGATATAGGAAATAGTACGATAAATGTGTTGTTTCAGTTTCTGAATAATACAGGTTTAATGAAGAGAATGTAGGATAAGTATATATAGAGAGGTAGAAGATGCTGATAGAGTGTGGGTAGAAGGGAAAGTATATCTGAAGGTTAAATAAGGTTAAACTGGAGGAGCTGAACACGCAGCGCCAGTGGGTTTTCTCTCTCTCTCTCTCTCTCTCTCTCTCTTTCTTTTTCTTAAAATGCACTGTTAAGTGCGGTTGCCAGTAAAAAACAGATGGTGGCGGTAATGCACTAATAAGCTAGTCTGCCAACCGCCAATAAACAGAAGAAGAAGAAGAAGCCGTTGTTGGACCTCTCCGTCACTAGATCGCGGCCGCGTCGAGCTCCAGCACCAGCCGCCGCTAAAGCTTCTTCCGCCGCCGCTGTTCCAGTGTCCGCAAAAATGGCCGCGGTCGGACGTCTATCCCAGAAGCTCCTGAAGTCCGCTGCGCTGACCCAAACCCGTCAGCTGTCGGCTGCAGTGGCTCACAGCGAACAAGCAGGTCAGTAACCAACTCTGAATAACCTAAAACAGACGCCGTAATATAAAGAGCAACCGTTACGAACAGCCGCAGCTCTACGTTTTGACCTTGTGGAAGTGACTCGAATGGCAGACTAATGTTGTTCTGTCGTTGACATAAATTGCAGAATGGCAGTTGGTTCAGACTTTTGTGTAACGTTAGTAAGGTAACGAACATTAAGTGAATTGCCTTTTGACAGCTAGTTGTATGAACTAAACGACTAGCATGTGAACCGGTTTGAACCTATTGTGACTTTTTGACGTGTCAAGTAAATGAGTTTATAATATGTCTCTTGCTGATTCACGTTAATGCAGCCAAGACCTGGAAGATCCTGTCGTTTGTGGTGGCGCTGCCCGGCGTCGCGGTGTGCATGCTGAACATGTACCTCAGGGCTCAACAACACAGCCATGAGCAGCCGGAGTTCATTTCCTACAGCCACCTGCGCATCCGCAGCAAGGTGAAAACACTCACCCTTCACACTAAAAACACCTTTAAACAGTCTACAGGAGGAGTCTGGTGGGAGTTTGTTTTTTAATGAAAAGAAAGTGTGAAGGTTCAGTGGAGTCTGGTCATAAGCACTTTTGAGTCAGGTTTGTTTTTAAATATCGGAAGTATTGCATTTTAAATGTCTGCTTTACTTGGGGCTTTGTTTTATTACTTCTTAACACGTTAAACACAGGCATTGGCCTTGAGATGAATGAATGTCATTCAAGATCAATGGAATGAGTTTTTAGTTTTTTCTTGTCAGCCAAAGCTGTGCATCACATTTGAAAGCCAAGAAACATGATTCACCTCTACCCCCCACTCCCAAATAAAATAAATTTAAGAATTGCTGCTTTATCTGACATTTAAGATCTGTGTGTACTCACTGTAATTGAGACCTTAAGAGGGCCTCCAGGAATGAGGCTGTGACCTCACACACCATAACCATATGCAATGCATATATCAGTACAGAGAAATGTGAATGTTTCTGGTAATGCTGAGAAATATAGCTAGAAATATATCTTGCTACTTTAGTCTTTAATGTTCTAGATATTACTAAATATAATGGCACTTCAATGATTATCGTGGTTTGGGATGGGGTAATAAGATTATAACAGCATTTCTACATGCATATACAGTATGCATTATGTTAAAATACATTTGTTAAGGATTCAAATGACGGAATAAAAAAATGTCATGACATTGTAACACATTTTTATAACTTAATTGTGCTTGAATTGTATATACGGATATAGTATAGTTATATTGTAGCCATTAATGCATATTCAAAATATTTAATGTAAGAGCTAAAATACAGTAAAATCGTATTTTTAAAAATGCATGAATTCCACTGTTGCTTTTTATCATTGTAATTGATTCATGTATATGCACACATTTAACAATGCTAACAGGGATGTGATTTTTCTGTATGTTCATATTTTGTGACTATGTACTGTGTGACCCACATTAATTGCATAAATCAAAGGATTTTTCTGCAAAACAATAATACCTCTCAGCAGCTCTGTTCAATTTACTCACTCACAACATGCGTAAACCATCTTCCCAAAATTGTAAAACGTTTATGAATCTGTCAATGAAACGTGTTTATTATGAAATACTCTTTTAGTATTTTCTTTTAAATCTTTTAATTTTACAGTACAATAGTGTTATAGCAATAAATATATATGTTATATGATATTTGTAGTAATAATAATAATTATTATTGTTATTTTGTAGTCAGTTTGAATACAGAAAACTGATCACATGCCTGGTACAAATACGAAAAAAAAGGATCTACATATTTTTACTAAAACTTTTGAATGTATGAAAAATGACAGAGACTTTTGTGAACATTTCTTTGTAATAATTGAAAAATACATATGCTCATGTTGTTAGTCAAACGATGTCTTTTCTCTCTTCCGCACACGTACATCAGCGTTTCCCATGGGGTGACGGCTCCAAGACGCTCTTCCACAACCCCCACGTCAACGCCCTCCCCGATGGCTACGAGCAGCATGATCATTGAAAGCTGTCTGGAGCTCTATCAGAACTCCCCTACAGGGACCAGAAAGCCCTCTCTCCCCCTCTCATTTACCTGGACCACTCCTCATTTTTTTTCAGTTTACATAACATCAACGTTTTGATCTTACCTCTCTGTGCTCTCCACACCTAGTGGAAGTACCTTATGGGAAACCGTTACATTTACTTAAGGACCATTGTATCACCTTGACTGCTTAAACTGAAATAAAATTTAAAAAATCTATTCATTAAATTATAAAAAATGTCAGAAATCTCATTTTTTTTGAAGGGAGTGATTGAAGTTGTCAGATCCTGGGATACATTGTGTTTTGCTTGTGTTTAAATGCTGCATTAGGAGTATAGAAGAGAAATGCATTAAAGCAGGGCTGCCCAAACTCGGTCCTGGAGGGCCGGTGTCCTGCAGAGTTTAGCTCCAACTTGCCTCAACACACCTGCCTTTTAGGTTTCTAGTATGCCTATTAAGAGCTTGATTAGCTGGTTCAGGTGTGTTTAATTGGGGTTGGAGCTAAACTCTTCAGGACACCGGCCCTCCAGGACCGAGTTTGAACACCCCTGCATTAAAGCAACACATTTGTCTGTGTATTCTATTAATAGGTGCATGGGACTTAATGCCAATAATATTAAAATATACATTTAAAAAAATGTATATATATTGCTCCCTTAGAAACGCAAGGCTAAAATGGTCACGAAATGTAGTTTGTTCCTGCAGGCTCGCCGTACTGTCGAGACACTCTCGCATGACTTTACTCTTGTGACGCATTCCTTCTCAAAAAACGAAATTTAAAGGCATCATGAAACATGAGATCTTATCAGTTTCCGTTTATACTGAATATATTACTGGTATTTGGTTACTCGTGACTTTTTAACAGTATTCTCTAAGCGAAAATGAGTATTTAGGGGAGTGTGGGACTTAGGAACGCAGCTGAAGTTGGATGCCATGTGGAAAGTTTATGTGAACTTCATTCAACCCACTGACGGTGAGTGAAAATAATACCTGCATCGGTTCTTGTTGCACAGATACGAAACATGGAGGACTGCTTTGTCTCCACAGCTGCGTGTTCAAGCGCAAGCATACGTTGTCTAACATGGATATAAACAAACAAGCTATGCCTCTGTACTTGTACATTGACGTGTGAATTCGACAGATTTTCTCACTTAAGTTACTTATAAGAAAATCCTGTAAGGCTTTTGTAGCGATCAGATGTTAAAGTGAAAGCTATGTTTATTTAAATATTGATTTGAAGAGTTCTAAACGAAATTGTAAGGAGTAACGGGCATAATGTTTGCCTTGAAAATGTAATTTAGTTCAAGAACAAGCGTGCCGTTTTAAGTAGTAGTAGTCGAATGAAGTACAAATGTATAGTGTTGAAGTAGTTTACACTCTTGCGTGCATTTCAAAGAAATCAAGAACATGTGACCTTTTGTGTAATGCTGTTACAGCAACATCGACAGTGTCAAACATATTTTTTTACATTTTGTTAGTAACCGGGACAAATTGTATTACAATGATTAAATCTTGAAATTTTTATTCCCAGGTTTAAATGGAAATTGTCTTAGATTTTCAATGTGGTCTCAGCCTGTTGGACCTGTTGACATGCAGTGCTTTGGTTTTTCTGTGTGTATTACTTTCCCAATAGATTAGTTAACCATAATTTGTGGTGCGCCAAAGTTAAAGGAATTCACTCAAAAATGAAAATTTGCCAACCTAGATCCACAGATTTTGATAAATGTAGCATTGCATCACTTGCTCACCAATGGATCCTCTGCAGTGAATGGGTGCCGTCAGAATGAGAGTCCAAACAACTGATAAAAACATCACAATAATCCACATGTAATTCGCCTGACTCCAGTCCACAAGTCAACATCTTGTGAAATGAAAAGCAATGTGTTTGTAACCCATAATTAAAGGGATAGTTCACCCAAAAAAATTACAATTCTGTCATTAATTACTCTGCCTCAAGTTGTTCCAAACCAAAGACATTGGTAGTTCATCTTTGGGACACAAATTACATTACTTTTGATGAAATCCAAGCGCTCTCTGACATCCATGATATTCTTCAAAATTGTGCTAGGTCATGCGGAGGAGAAGAATTGTTGAATAAAGTCATTATTTTAGTTTTTTGTGCAACAAAAATGGTTTTCTTTGTGCACAAAAAGTATTCTTGTAGCTTTGTAAAATTATGGTGGAACCACTGCTGTCACATGGGCTATTTTAACAATGTCTTACAACGTTCTATATAGCATCTGAAGACAATATACTACAGTTACATACATTTGTATGTGTATGTGTGCAGATGGAGTACAAAGTGACAGTGGCCACCGGGACCTCAGAATATTCGGGAACCAACAACTATATATACGTGACTCTGGTTGGAGAGAGAGGAGAGAGTGAGAGAACCGTGCTGGACAATCCAGGCCTAGACTTCTGCAGAGGAGCGGTGAGTAAATATGCTTGTGTGCTTATGAAAACTGTTAAATCTATTAAATATATGTATTCCTTTTTCTTCCGTCAAGTGCAGTAGAGTAGATATTTTTTTAAATGTAAAATTATTTTAAATAGTATAAGTAAAGCATTTACCATCCTATTTTACAACAATGCCAATGACAAATGATCATAAAGTTATTGAAAATAATTACATTTCCATTAAAGTAAGAAAAAAAATCTTTAAAAAGATTTTGAAAACGTTCATCTTCGGAACACAAATTAAGATATTTTTGATGAAATCCAAGCGCTCTCTGACATCCATGATATTCTTCAAAATGCTGAAATGTTCCCAGACCCAGAAACGTAGTAAGGAGAGCAAAGGACAATAAATTGTTATTATTGTTTTCATTGCACACAAAAAGTATTCTCGCTGCTTCGTAACAGTTACGGTTGAACCCTTGATGTCACGTTTCTGGGTCTGGGAACATTTCAGTTGTGTTGCTGTCTATGAGAGGATCAGAGAGCGCTCGGATTTCATCAGAAATATCTTAATTAGACATTCAAAGATCTGTTTAAATGATATAAATGCGTATTTGCTGAATGCTGATGGGAAACAAGAAAGTATTGTATTTGCCTTTCTATTACTAATAATATAAAAGCAATGGTTTTAATACTTTTCGTATACCTTTTAATTCATTTGTTGAACACCAATGGATCCTCTGCAGTGAATGGGTGCCGTCAGAATGAGAGTCCAAACAACTGATAAAAACATCACAATAATCCACATGTAATTCGCCTGACTCCAGTCCACAAGTCAACATCTTGTGAAATGAAAAGCAATGTGTTTGTAACCCATAATTAAAGGGATAGTTCACCCAAAAAAATTACAATTCTGTCATTAATTACTCTGCCTCAAGTTGTTCCAAACCAAAGACATTGGTAGTTCATCTTTGGGACACAAATTACATTACTTTTGATGAAATCTGAGAACTTTCTGACCCTGCATAGACAGCAACACAACTGACAAGGCCCAGAAAAGTAGTAAGGACATCATTAAAATAGCCAAGTCCATGTGACATCAGTGGTTCAACCGTAATTTTATGAAGCTACAAGGAATACTTTTTGTGCAAAGAAAACAAAAATAATTACTTTATTCAACAGTTTGTCACCGCCTGCTGCCATTCACAAGAATACCATGCCATGTTTTTGTTTTCTTTGTGCACAAAAAGTATTCTTGTAGCTTTGTAAAATTATGGTGGAACCACTGCTGTCACATGGGCTATTTTAACAATGTCTTACAACGTTCATCTTCGGAACACAAATTAAGATATTTTTGATGAAATCCAAGCGCTCTCTGACATCCATGATATTCTTCAAAATGGTGCTAGGTCATGCGGAGGAGAAGAATTGTTGAATAAAGTCATTATTTTAGTTTTTTGTGCAACAAAAATGATTCATGTAGCTTCAAAAAATTATGGTTGAAGCACAGATGTCACATGGACTTCTGGACCTTGAATGTGGTAGGACCCTATCTATGGAGGGTCAGAGCTCTCGGATTTCATCTTAAATATCTTAATTTATGTTCCGAAGACGAACAAAGGCCTTATGGGTTTGGAATGACATGAGGGTGAGTAATTAATGACAGAATTTTCATTTTTTGAAATTAAAGACACCAATGGATCCTCTGCAGTGAATGGGTGCCGTCAGAATGAGAGTCCAAACAACTGATAAAAACATCACAATAATCCACATGTAATTCGCCTGACTCCAGTCCACAAGTCAACATCTTGTGAAATGAAAAGCAATGTGTTTGTAACCCATAATTAAAGGGATAGTTCACCCAAAAAAATTACAATTCTGTCATTAATTACTCTGCCTCAAGTTGTTCCAAACCAAAGACATTGGTAGTTCATCTTTGGGACACAAATTACATTACTTTTGATGAAATCTGAGAACTTTCTGACCCTGCATAGACAGCAACACAACTGACAAGGCCCAGAAAAGTAGTAAGGACATCATTAAAATAGCCAAGTCCATGTGACATCAGTGGTTCAACCGTAATTTTATGAAGCTACAAGGAATACTTTTTGTGCAAAGAAAACAAAAATAATTACTTTATTCAACAGTTTGTCACCGCCTGCTGCCATTCACAAGAATACCATGCCATGTAACCCATAATTAAAGGGATAGTTCACCCAAAAAAATTACAATTCTGTCATTAATTACTCTGCCTCAAGTTGTTCCAAACCCATAAGACATTGGTAGTTCATCTTCGGGACACAAATTACATTACTTTTGATGAAATCCAAGCGCTCTCTGACATCCATGATATTCTTCAAAATTGTGCTAGGTCATGCGGAGGAGAAGAATTGTTGAATAAAGTCATTATTTTAGTTTTTTGTGCAACAAAAATGATTCATGTAGCTTCAAAAAATTATGGTTGAAGCACAGATGTCACATGGACTTCTGGACCTTGAATGTGGTAGGACCCTATCTATGGAGGGTCAGAGCTCTCGGATTTCATCTTAAATATCTTAATTTATGTTCCGAAGACGAACAAAGGCCTTATGGGTTTGGAATGACATGAGGGTGAGTAATTAATGACAGAATTTTCATTTTTTGAAATTAAAGAACTATCTTTTTATGGTTTTATATTAATTATGAGGCATAATTATAAGACAATTAAATATCTCTAAAATGTCACTTCTGGCCAAAATGCAAGTCCATAATCCAAAATAACACTTCCTCCACTGAAAAAGTCCATCCTATGTTGTCCTCTCACAACAAAATCC